TTATTATTATTATTATTATTATTATTATTATTATTATTATTATTATTATTATTATTATTATTGACGAACTGAAGTAGCATATGTGGTTGTGAGTTCACAAATGAATCTTTGTTGACCGGAAAGTCGTACCATTGTTTCCCGTTGGCGGCAAGATTGCACGCAACAGCAGGTTCGACGACTGTCACTACGTAGAGGCCAGCTGCCCTGGTCGGTCGTGATTTTCTCCGCTGTATTCCAGGTAGTTTCCGGAACATCGTCTTACGAGCCACTGACCATGCTCAATTCCTCCTTACCCGTTCTATCCTACTCTCATTCCTTAGGGCTGAATAATTTGGATCATTTCTCGTCCTCATGTGGCTCATCCCCCTTGATTCAAGAAAATCTCCCAGAAGCTTCGGAGATTCTGAGAGGGGCTGACTATCTGACAGTCGTGAAGAGATATTAAATGTGTTTCGAGATGAGATAACCGGAATATTAGAACTAAGTAATGATTTAACCCGCAGCTGTTAAATTCGCAGATTGTTGATTTTTAGTGTTTCTGGCCTAGTCAACTACAGTCAATAGTTTCGCCAGAGAAGTACAAGTTATTAGCAGAGATGTAGAGGTGTCCTACCCCACTGGAGCACCGTCCCAGTCGGGACAAGCTCTAAGCTCCTAACTGATCTCCCGCCATTTCTGGTACGTGCAAGTGTAAGTGCATGTAAGGGAAGAGGAGGGGACACGAATAAGTGAGGAAACACAGCTCGCGACCAGTTTGTTAGGGTAGAGCTCCGGCATTTGTCTGGTATTAATCGGAGAAACAACAGAAAACTACCGGTCAGAACAGCCGACTCCTAGAATTCTCCCCCTGACAAAAGCCTCTTTCGAACTCGCTATTTAGCTAGAGCGAAAAATCCCTCCGGCAACGGCCGCTGGTAGTACTGCCTGCCAATACTACCTCAGAGCGAACTCAATCGGCCATAGCTCCATTGCAACCACGCAATGGATCCAATGGCACTGACAGCCGCGTGCGTGGCCTTGCAGGATCCGGCTGGTGGACGGCGGCAACCTGGCCATCCAGGACGCGCGCCAGACGGACGACGGCCGCTACCAGTGCGTGGCGCGCAACATCGTCGGCACGCGCGAGTCCAGCATCGCGCTGCTTAAGGTGCACGGTGAGTACTTATTTACTTCAGGTAATAAACAGTTATATACTATTTGTAACGTAAAATGGGAGAGAAGTGCAATGTGTACATTTTTTTCTTGAGTTCTGAAGTTCCTACTATTTTCTTAAGTTATAGAGTATTGCTAAAAAGCTCCCTCTCAGTCGTTAAATAAATTAATGTTTTTAAATAAATATTTTATATCATTCGAACATACATACATTGCGATATTTCATTTTAAAAATTAGCATACATCGATAACAGGTAAAAACGAATAGTATTTGCCAGATACATTGCGCGTGGTGTCGTTATATTTTGCTTTGCGTGTTTCGGCTTCGTTGGTGTAGCGGTTTGCGTTTAGGAGTTCGCGGGTGCACATCGTTCGAAGCCGGGAATATTTGAGAGAGGGGAAATTATTTTCTTCGTAGGGAAAGTAAAAAAGTCTAAGTTCCCGATTTCAAATTCAATATAAGCCGTGGATTATTAAAGGCGGGAAAATCTTGTACTTCGAAAGGGAAGTAATGCCGACTGCGCCATGTTAAAAATTTACTGCAAGTAAAAAAATTAATAAATAAAAAATAAATAAATTAGTAAAAAATAAAAAAAATACCTCTCGGTTAAGAGAATCCTCCGAGCACAATTCTCAATCGCCTATTTCGTGTCTCGAAACAGTCGCCTGAACGCGTGTGCGTGCGTGCGTGCGTGTTGCAGTGAAGCCGTACCTGATCCGCGGGCCGTCGGACGCCGTGGCGCTGGCCGGGGGCAGCGTGGAGTTCCAGTGCCGCGTGGGCGGCGACCCGCCCCCGGACGTGCTGTGGCGGCGCACGGCCGGCGGCGGGGGCATGCCGCTGGGGCGCGTGCACATCCTGGACGACCGCAGCCTGCGCCTGGAGAACGTGGAGCCGGAGGACGAGGGCGAGTACAGCTGCGAGGCCGACAACGACGTCGGCACCGTCACCGCCTCTGCCACGCTCACCGTGCACTGTGAGTGGACCGCCGTAGGCTTTGTTCAATCGAGTGTAAGAGCTTTGCGCTCGAGGGTGGGAAAGCCTGCCAACTGCGCTTTAGTTTCGTACCAGGAGGAATTTGACTCAGAGTGAGGCTCATAGCTTTTCCGGCTCTAACCCACACACCCTTTGGAAATTAATGCGCCCCCAGGCTGGCAGTCGGATACGCCGGCACGAAGTACCCCAGAGGAACCTATTTCGAATTAAGCCACGGTGAAACTACCTTACCAGCTCAGGGCTACTTGTTTTTCATGCTGCAGTCGAATTAAGCGCCACTCACGGGCGCCTGGAGAAAGACCTACTCCATTTCCCATGAGTATCGGGTATTGCCACGACGAGGTCAAGAGCCCTGTCAGGGTCACTCGGATCAAGACTCGGGAATCCCAGATCCCCCACTGCGTCTTCTCACAGCGCCCATATCTGCACTAATGACGTAAGAATGGCCGAAAATCTAATTCAATTCTACCACTGAGGCCACTATATTACATCCGCCATTTCAAAACTCTGACTTCTGATTTGAGATCAGTGACCCCCTTAACCTCCCACTATCAAGTTTTAATTAAAATAAACCAAAAGAAGTTCATGAGTCGAAGAGTGAATGTGTTATCACATATAGCTCAAATCTGAAATTTCAAAAATGTATTTAATCAAAATATCAAAAACCTTAGGGCTTTGAATGTAATTGTAAGTACCTGTAGACTAAAACCAAGTCATTAGAATATATTTTATGTGGTGATGTCCTGGAATGTTCCCTTACCAGTAGAAAATGCGCGCCAACCAAAATAAAATGGCCGGGCTGTAGCTCGCGCGAGTACTCGAGGGTTAACCGTGCCTGGTTGCGCCGATGGGTGTGTGCTTGACTGCGTGTTTGTGTGGCAGCGCCTCCGTCGATGACGGTGCGTCCCGTGGACGTGAGCGTGGAGGTGCAGCGCGACGCCGTGTTCGAGTGCGCCATGGTGGGCAACCCGCGGCCGTCCATCTTCTGGTCCGTGGAGGGCAACCGCTCGCTGCTCTTCCCCGGCGCGCGCATCGACCGCTTCGCCGCCTCTGCCACGCCCGAGGGCCGCGCCGTGCTCACGCTCCAGGTCGGTCATGTACCATCCCGCATTACATTATGACGCAACTTACCTCGGCTCATCTCATCTCACCAGCTTTCACCTCGCCCTTCCCGTCATCAGACCTCCCTTAACCATACCTAGTTTCACCATACTTCGCTTTACCAAACCACCCACCACCAAACGTCCCTCCACCAAACCTCCCTCCACCAAACCTCTCGCCTAAGGGCTGTGCAGTGATCACGCTCCAGATCAGTCGCGCCTCTCCCCCAACATCTCTTACCCCACACCGGCACGCGCCGCACCACGCGTTACACAAGACACATACCATTCCGTCCCACCTTAAAATATGCTACAATTTACCTTAAGTCAACTGATCTTGCCTCAACTTCTCTCATCCGCTTTCACTTCGCCTCTCTTCCCCTTACCTCTCTTCCCCTTATCTCTCTTCCCCTTACCTCTCTTGCCCTTACCTCTCTTGCCCTTACTTCCCTTCGCCTGAATCTCTCTTTACCATACCAGCTCCAAATCACTTCATTCATCTCTCGACCTCTCTTCGCTTAACCTCCCTTCACATTGAATTGAATTGAATTGAATATGCCTTATTTTACGTGGCGAGACTCGGGCCATCAGGCCCGCTCTTCCGTCTGACCACGCAAATTTCGCTACGCTCCTTTCATATAGCAGAGAAAGAAGGTATTTCTTGGGCGAGAAACAGGCGATTTGAATTTAGCTCAGAGGCGTCATTTAGGCTTGAGGATCTTTTACATGCAAGTAAATCTACGAACATGGGACAGCCGGCTTTACTTCCCCTCCGAAGGAAGGCGTATGAAGGATTTTTTCGCCCTTAAAAATCCACGGCTTCGATCGGGTTTGAACCCGCCAACTTGGGTACAACAGTCCAGTACGCTAACCGTTACACCGCCACCGCCGCCACATCACTCATCTCATCTCACTGTACCTTTGTGCTTCTCTCTACATCCCACTCCACCTGCCCGTTTCGTTCTTCATCTTTCTTCGGATATCTTAATTTCGGCTCACTTTACCTCACATCCATTCAGCCGCGCTTCACGCGAGCACATCCCTTTCATTAACAGCCTGATGACTGCATGTCACCACACTCTTTTACATGTCTCTTTTAGTTCACGTCCCTTTTTGTTCAAATTAAAATAGAAGCTACGATATAATTAACATTAGAAACAATCCCATGAAAGACGTTAACGAAAAACAGATGCCTAAGACGGAGTGAATCGTGCTGCAGGCGGTGACGCGCAACGACTCCGGCACCGTGGTGGTGTGCACGGCGGTGAACGCGGCCGGGTCGGCGGTGTGGCGCGCGCGCCTCACCGTCACCTCGCCCGAGGACCGCCCGCCGCCCGTCATCACCCTGGGCCCGGCCAACCAGACGCTGCCCGTCAAGTCCATGGCCGTGCTGCCGTGCCGCGCCACCGGCGTGCCCACGCCCGTCATCACCTGGTACAAGGACGGCGCCGCGGTGCTGGCCAGCCCGCGCGTCAACGTCTCCGACTCCGGCCTGCTGCAGATCAACGGTGAGTCCGCACGCGAGGGCTCGGAACTCTCCAGCCCCCAGGCGAACGAGGGGTTAGGACGAAACAGGTCCCCGAAGCAACACACGCGAGTGCTGTCATTGCTTTTAGAGTCATAAAATATCGTTCATTTCACGCGTGAATGGAATACTGATTAGTGGTACCTCACAAGGTATCTCAAGGTATATCAAGGTACCCTTTTTCCTCACAAGGTATCTCCCATAAACAGGCCACCGCCTTAACCGGAACAAGCTCTAAGCTCCCGACTGGTCTGTGAATGAGATATTGTAATTAAGTTTTAAAAAAAGTATTTCAATGTATTTGCTGCACATATAATAAGTTGTCATAAAAGACATAATAAGAAGTAAGTGTGGATAAGTAACTACCCCTTGTGTATTTACTAATGGTTGCGTGCGCAGACCTGGAGAAGCGCGACGGCGGGCTGTACACGTGCGTGGCTTCGTCGCGCAGCGGCAAGGCCACGTGGACGGCGGCGCTGCGCCTGGAGCAGCCCACCAACCCAAACATCCACTTCTTCCGCGCACCCGAGCCCTCCACCTTCCCGGGCGCGCCCAGTCGCCCGCAGGTCGTCAACAAGACCGATTCCTCCGTCACCATCTCGTGGACGCGCAACAACAAGATCGGCTCCTCCTCGCTGCTCGGATACCAGGTGAGATCGCCTCGCCCCGCCCGCCTCGCCCCGCCCGCCTCGCCCCGCCCCGCCCCGCCTGCCCGCCCGCCTCGCCCCGCCCCGCCTCGCCCCGCCTCGCCCCCCGCCTGCCCGCCTCGCCCCGCCTCGCCCCGCCTCGCCCCGCCCTCGCCCCGCCTCGCCCGCCTCGCCCCGCCTCGCCCCGCCTCGCCCCGCCTCGCCCCGCCTCGCCCCGCCTCCCCCGCCTCGCCCCGCCTCGCCCCGCCTCGCGCCTAGCCCGCCTCGCCCCGCCTCGCCCGCCCCGCCTCGCCCGCCTCGCCCCGCCCGCCCCCGCCTCGCCCCGCCTCGCCCCGCCCTCGCCCGCCTCGCCCGCCTTCGCCTCGCCCCGCCTCGCCCGCCTCGCCCCGCTCGCCCGCGCTCGCCCCGCCTCGCCCCGCCTCGCCCCGCCTGCGCCCGCCTCGCCCGCTCGGCCCCGCCTCGCCCCGCCTCGCCCCGCCTCGCCCGCCTCCGCCCCGCCTCGCCCCGCCTCGCCCCGCCTCGCCCCGCCTCGCCCCGCCTCGCCCGCCCTCGCCCCGCCTCGCCCCGCCTCGCCTTGCGCCTCGCCCCGCCCCGCCTCGCCCGCCTGCCTCGCCCGCCTCGCCCCGCCTCGCCCCGCCTCGCCCGCCTCGCCCCGCCTCGCCCGCCTTGCCCCGCCTCGCCCCGCCTCGCCCCGCCTCGCCCTTTCCCCGCCTCGCCGCCGCCTCGCCCGCTTCGCTCCGCTTTCCCTGCTTTGCCCCGCTTCTCTCCGCTTCGCCCGCTTCTCTCCACTCTTCTTCGCCCCATGTTCTGTACTCCTTTCCTGTCCCCCTGCTCCTATGTGTCGAAGAATACTTTACCTTCAAAAGAATACACCTTCTTATGAGAACAATATAAATATATTTTCTTCTAATACTCATACGCCAACTAACCTGCAGTCATTCCTGCTTTGCCCCAGCTTCTCTCCGCTTCGCCCCGCTTCTCTCCACTCTTCTTCGCCCCTGTTCTGTACTCCTTTCCTGTCCCCCTGCTCCTATGTGTCGAAGAATACTTTACCTTCAAAAGAATACACCTTCTTATGAGAACAATATAAATATATTTTCTTCTAATACTCATACGCCAACTAAACCTGCAAGTCATTCAGGGGCGAAGGTAGATTCTCTGTGGCCCTGGTGCAGAATGTCCAAATGATGCATCCTAACTACAATAATTGTTGTTTTGCATGTAATACCTATTGCTACACAATACTATTAATAATTATTAACCATTTAACCACCAAAGGCATTATTCTCCATTTTGGTCATCAAAATTCCCATCTCAGATATCCTATTCTGAAAATAATATTGTAAAATGCTTGTCTGTGAACTACATGGTAATATCTCTGCATCATACAAGTAACAAACTTTATTCTATTACCAGTTTTCGGATAAAAGTTTTTGTTCAGATACAAACGCAAAAGTACATTTGTTAATTGATGTAATTTAGAGCCACATTGCTTTCAAAATTCTTTAATAGCTTCAAATTAGTTTTCACTAAACTATGAAAATAATTAGAAAGGTAATATCAAAAATATATTGTTAAAAAGTATTTTAGAAAAGTACATTTTTCAGTGGGCACCTAGAGCTTTAAGTTCTCAGGCGATTCTGAGTGTGACTGGTGGCTCTTGCAGGTGGAGTTGTTTGGTCGAGAGCAGAATGCAGCCGGAGGCAGTGCCTCCTCCGCATCAAACGGACGTGGTGCTCACATCTATCCATTGGGGTCAGGCGGTGGCTGGGTAGTGACTGCGCGTCGGGTACAAGGGCCTACATACACTCAGCACCACCTCATGCCTGGTGTCAGCTACACTTTCATGGTGAGGGCTGAGAATTCTCATGGCCTATCACCACCCAGCCCACTGTCTGAGCCAGTGTCAGTGGCACCTACTGGGTCTGCATGGCCTGGTCATGGAGAGGAGCAGTTTCTGCTGAATGAGGCCAGAGCTAGTCTCCTTGCTGGTCATGTTGTGGAATTGACAGATGCCCAACCTATTAGTTCCACTGCTGTCAAGCTTGTATGGGAGGCAAGTATTATTACTTCATCAGAGGAATAAAAGTTTACTACAGATTTATTTTGAGCAACAGTGATCCCTTTTTATATTGAGACAATTCTATCTTCAAATAAACTTGATGCAAATTGTATGCTTCTATAATAGTCTAGTTTTATTTTTAATTGTGTTTACATGATTAACTTTTATAATAATTTATATCCACAATTGCTCTCTAAGGGGGATTGAAAATAACCACTTTTTGCCCATGAACAGGAGGTGTGCACATATGACTTGATAGGCAGACAACTTACCTTTCACTGATATTTAGCAACCCAATTAGGGGCTACATGTGAAATTTGTTATATGAGATTTCCCATCACATGTTTGTTGGCAAAATATATTATCTTCTCCTCTCTCTACATGTACTAGAAGTTTGCAGTATTTATTCTGAAACATCCTATAAGTAATCCTTATCAAATCCGTACTAAATAGTTGTTCAAAACTGTCATGTAATATGAATATATTACATTTTTGCTAGTTTAAAAAATTGCATGAAATACAATTTGATACTTTCAGAGTAAATATTAGACATGTATATGAACAATGGAATCATGTAGCCTAACAAAGCTTCAATCTAGATCTCCAAAAATAAATAACATTTCTTGATAATCCATTTTGTTAAAATTTTATTTGGTTTTATTTACCATTAGTTTGGGCCTTGTCTTTAAGTCATCAAATACATAATTTAATATATATTTTTTAATTTATTTTTCTTATAGATACTGAACTCAGAATATGTGGAAGGTTTCTACATATATTCACGACCTCTGGATGGAAGTAGAACTCCTGATTCTGTCAATATTTTGACTGTTCTCCATGCTGGCGGAGCATCTGGGTTTCAAGTGAAAGGCCTAGCCAAGTATACCAGATATGAATTTTTTCTAATACCATTTTTTAAAACTGTGGATGGGCGACCTTCCAATTCAAGGACTGTTCGAACTAATGAAGATGGTAATATATACATTACTCTTTGTTTCACATGCCTTCTTTATTTCTTTGCAATGCTCTAATTTTTGCCCTTGTTGAATCAGCCCCATCTGAGCCACCTATGCACATGGAAGCTTTACTTTTAAATGCCAGTTCTGTATTTTTGAAGTGGAAACCACCTCCTCCTAATACCCATAATGGGATATTGAGAAGTTATCAGGTAATTTCAAACATTAATTGCTAGCTCATGGTAAATTTGTGTTCTATTATTTAATATAATTTATTGAAGAAAATAATATAATTAATTTGGCAAATTTTATTAGAAATTCTCATTTATTGAATTATTTCTAATTGTTATTGTTTGTAGGTAATTGTACGAGGAAACAGTGTAACCAATAGTAACAGTGTAAATGGCCCAGAAGCGAAAGGAAACACATCACGAATTCTAACTAATATAACTGTGGGTGCATCAACTCCTTCGTTATTGCTGACTAACCTAACTACAGGAGTAACATACATTGTGCAGGCACTGGCCTCAACTAGAGCAGGCCTAGGACCTCCAAGTGCACCTTTCACTTTGCGTCTGGATCATGCATCTCGACTTTTGTTTAAAGATCAGCACCATAGGTACATCTCTTGTTTAATATTTTCTTTGTTTACAAATCAACATTTTTTTGTAGTGTTAGAAAAATTTCCCTGTTACTTTGTATAATGCATTATTTCATGTTCAGTCTCCAGAAAAAAATATATGAATAGGAAATATTGGTTTCTTTGGTAAAATAGTGAGATATAGCATTTCAGTTCTGAATAATTATTAACTTTGTGTATTAAAGACTGATATTAGATACATAACATTAAAAAAAAATAAAAAAAGACTATTACTAGAAAAATCAAAACAAGAAGAAAAATGTAGGAGTAAATATTTGTTAACTGTAATTCATGGCACCATTTAATTTTTTAGGCAACCTGTGGGTCATGATCCTAGCTTAAATCCTGGAATGAGTGGCAGTGATTTTTTGACAGAAACATGGTTCATTGCTTTGCTCGGAAGTATGGTAGCAGTAATGGTTCTTTTATTTGCTGCAATGTTACTTGTTCGAAGACGACAATTACTCAGTAAAAAGACAACACTTCCAAACCTGCATGGTAAATATTAATTTGTTTTAATTTTTTAATTTTTTTTGATTAGAAAGGTGTTTTTTATCAGTGCTTAAAACTAAACTGAAATTTTTGTTGAATATATAATATTTTTTTCGGTTATAAAATGTGTATTTTTAAAGCATGTGAGAATCCTAATTTTTTAAGAATGTTTTAAATAATTTCCTTTGACATGTTAAAAGCTCACAACCGTTTGTAAATGCTCACAACCGTTTTCTGCATTAGATTCTCGTTCCAATGGAGGAGTATTGGCTACGCCACTCAGTCTAAAAGCAGCAGTGGGCTTGCCCCACCCATTGGCAAACGCCTCACATGTATCTCTACCCCATGACTCATCTTTGTGGATAGAGAATAGACCTGGACCACCAACAAGTTGGCGTCATTCTGAAACAAGTGACAAAGAAACATGCAGCATGTCAGAATCTCGCTTACTCAACAATGGAAGTGTTGTGACAACCACACTGAATGATTATGCTGAAACAGGAATGTTAAAATCAGCTGCAAGTCCAAACAGTGAAACTACACCAGCTTATGCTGAAGTAGATGCTACTCATGCAGCCTTAACCACATTTCGTGGTTGTGATGAACGTTGCAGTGGTGGGCAGATCAGCAGTGATGGATCAGGTTCTCCTGCTCCTTATGCCACCACCACCCTTATAGGGAGTTCAAGACAGCACATGAATAACTTGGTAATATCTAATTACTTTCAAGAGTTTTCTGAACTAACAAAATATAACAAATTAACATATTTTCAATTGCAACACTCTAACATAGAAAAAATTAAGAAAAGGGCAATCACTTTTGAGAGAATATTGCTTCAACCAAAATCAACCAAAATCAATTAAAAAAAGTAGTTTCAGTTGAGAAAGAAAAATGTATTATCTCTGTTGTTCCCAAATTTTTAATATTACAATGGAATATGTGATAATTGAATTGTTCACTGAAATTGTCTCCTTCTTTTGAATATTTCACTTTGTATCTCAGCCTATTACTTCATGTTGATTTGTCATATATAGCCTAAATACAGTCAACTTTTGCCTCTTCTACCAATCGTAAGAGGCAACTGAAAGTCATGAGTAGTCTAAGGAAAATCTGGATTTACAGGTTTAATACAATAAACCATTATCATCATTTATATATTGTTTACAAACCTACATACTCTTTAGATGTTTGAGATATGAGAACTACCTATATAAAATTGACAATATCATATTTTTAAGTATTGAACTTGAACATGTTCTGCATCACATATTGGTACGGTATTCTTTAGTTTTGTTAGGAAATTTTTATAATCTGCAAAACACAAACAAATCAGTTTTAACTATCAAGTTATCAACTTTTCCATTCTTTTTCACTCAATTTCTTTCGTTAAATGTTCATTGAATAAAAAAAATAAACTTTCGTGAACTAGACACATTTTCTCCAAGATTAAAAGAACGTTTTGAACATTCCTTGCTTTCTTATCTGAATTCAAATAGTAATCTGTAGAGGGAATAATTACAAATAAACAATATTGTGAAATATTGTTAAACAAGTTTGAAGAGGTTTTAAAAATTGTTGACATTATACAGCATTTCATTTTATTTTTCTCTTCAGAAAAAGTTCTCCTTTAAAAATATTTCTAAAGAAATAGGCTACAAGAATTTTTGCAAATTAATCTTTTCACTAATAATGTGTTTTCTTGTATTTTGTTTGTAGGGTTGGGTGCAAATATGTCCACCAGTAAATGATTCAGATGATCCTTCCTACCCGAATCCAGCATGCTATTTTGGTCGTAATGTGTATTCAGACACGTATTTCTTCAGTGGTCATTGCAATAATGGACTGAATGGTAATCCTGGTAAGTTGAAAATTATTTGTTAAAAAAATTAAAATTATTTTTCAAAACAAATAATGCAATCATTGTAATAACTAGAAATGACCTTCAATTAATTAATCAATAAAATGAATATTTTTTGTTAAAGAAAGATTAATTTATTATTATTGTTATTGTTTATTGTAGAATTTCAGACTTTGTTTTAATTTCACTTGTTTAATTGGTTTAGATAAAGCAAATATTCTTCCTGTACACCCTCGTCATTCTCCTCTGCAAATAATATTAGATGTTCCAATCAAGTTTAATAATAATTTATAACAGTTTAATAATAATTTTTAACTTTTGACAAGTTTAAGGGATAATAAAAATCCTACATATTAATGCAAAAGTTCATATACTCCCTGTTGATTGGAAATCTGTGTATAAGTCATCTTACATTAGAATTTAGTCGAAACTGCTGTTAAATATATTGATACATTAGAGTAACATTGTTTTTATAATTCTAGAATCCTCTAATAATATTTATTTGTTGGTTTAAGGAAATTCATTAAAATAAAATAAAATTATTGGTTGAATGGACTTTGTAAAGTAATTTTATTCAATGCATTACTTTAATTCAAATGTTTTAATGCACAGGAAATATGATTGGGCCATCAGGATCACACAATAGCTGTCCTGGGACTGGAGGCCCCACTCGCAAAGCTTTCTCTGATGTAAATCACGAGTCCCTTGCAGGAATGCCTCCACCAATGAATCCTCCCATTCCTCCTGCAGCTTCAGCTTCTGTGCCTCATACACCTTCCAACACTCTGAGGAGAGGACACCGCAATTTACAATTTATACGACCACAGGTATGAAGAATTCTGTATTCAATTGTCACCATAATGCCCTGTATCAAAATGATAAAACATATTTACAAGTTATATATAATATTTATGTTCTGTACAGTAAATTCCATCATTGTAACTTTGTTACTGTGCTACAGGAATATTTGATAATTCAAATGATTCAAAGCATAAGGTACCTACTACCCCATCCAGAAACCAAAGTCAGGTCTTCTGTATAACAATACCCAGTTGCTTTCATATTTATACTAACAAGATGATTGCTGAGCAATCAACAGGCTCAAGAAAATGTTTAGAACATAAGTCATCTCATTACTTTGAGGAAAAAGCAACTGGGCATGAACGAAGAGTCTCGAGTCATCAATAAATCCTTTGAATGATGTGAAATAAACGTGTAGGACTTACAAGGTTTTTGGATAAGATAAAAGTTCATTTAAATATTTTTTTAAATTTACATTGTTTGCTCTTCTGATCCGAAATATATCCCAAGTTGTAAAAATAATTACAGTGAAGCTGATGATCAGAAAATTCCCTTGCTCAAAGTTGATTGTACTTTAAAGTAATCCTCGCAAGTCAAAAAATTATCACAGGTAGATCCAATTGAAAACATTGATAATTATATTTATATATATTAATTATATTATTATAATTATATAATGAAATCCCACGAGGAAAATCTTTCAAATTCTAATCCTATCACAAGATTGTTAGCACATTTATCATTATATAAATATAATTAATAATACTACCACAAAATGGAAACATTTTTCCGTATTTGTAATTGTATTCCTAGATGTTTATTTCAGTTTTGAAATTTGTTGATTGTAAAGCACATTCAGTTCAACATTGTAAAGCACATTCATGCAAAATTCATGAACTTTGTATTACAGATTCAGCGTCAAGGTGGAGGAGTTAATGGAGAAAATTCACATATGTCATCAACAAATCCACAGCCCCCTGCTTTCTCAAACAACAGCTGCCCTAGTTCTCGAGATTGTCAGCGATTTTCTGACCCTCCACCTGATGTAGTAACATCTCCACAGCAACCGCCTCCCCCAATCAACTGTAGAGTATCTCCCCAGGGGCCACAATCATGGAAGGGTCAGAATGGATCCAGTGGCGTGAAACCAATGCTTTTATTGACCTCTATCCCTGTTGGGAGTGATGCATCTCAGACATCCCCATCAGCACAAGACTTAAACCACTCCACAAATTCATATAATGCTCATAGTCTGTCCAGTTTTGTGGTGCCTTACCCCACTTACTCACCAGCGGCCAGGCATGGGCAATATCAACCAGTGTATCATCAGTCATCTCGCAGTGAACCTGGGAGTAGCCTAGGCAATACCGGCAACTGAAGGGAAAATTAAGCTACAGTGGCCTATTTATATCCATGGAACTCTGAAAATTGTTCTTCAGTTTTCACAAGAAGAATGCTGATGATCTGACTGAGATGAACATTTAGTCAGGCTATATACTAATGGTTACCCTCTTTTATTTTCAAAAAATGTGTAGTCATTTTTAAAAAGGTTTATAACTTGGTTTTTAACTTGGTTAAAAACTGAAGCGCATAAAATTGGAAATGAATGATATGTCTTCTTTAATGCATTATTTTCAACTGGTAAAATAGTACATGTATTACATTATGTATCCCCAACAAGTCACAGTCAGATGGGTTCATTTTGAAATACATTCCAAAGAAAATCATTTTTATAATAATTGTTTAGTATTGTTTAATGTTCTGAATGAACCCTGGCTAAATATTTCTCTTAATAAGAAAATAACAGTACATGCAAATTTTGTCTATGCACAATATCAGAGCAGAAATACGTCCAAATAGTATCCATTGTACTAGTGTACTGACAGGATGAACAAAGTGAGGGAAGAACTAGATGAGTACGTTGTCTTCAATTATATCCATGGTTGTGGTTCATTTTTGTTCATTGTAATGACTCCAAATTATATTCATGAAAATATGATTATAATAAGTTTAATAAGCTTGCGTTAGACACAATATGAGCGTGAAATTTTGTGTCATGACACTAAGAAAAAATTGGTATGAATACAAAGCAAATGTATTTTCAGATTATTTCAAGAAAGGAAATATTTCATTATTATGAAAAATATTTGTTATAGAAGTAAACGGCAAGGCAAACAAAATATTATACAACATAAAATGTGATCAGCATGATCTTTTAAATACTGCAAAACATACCTCTATGTTGTGTTTCTTTAGATGTTGAAATTTGTTTTGATGACAATTCCCCTTCCCCTTTATCTCAGCTGTTTGTACTGTTTGTCCCCACGAAATTTAACCTTAATACATATGGTGGCAATTTTTGATGAATAAAGCAGACAAATAATGAAAATGGAAGTGTAATAACATTAGAGCTTCTTCTTCCTCTACTGTAATTCCCAATTGAAAATAAATGTCATTTCAATAGAATGTTGTTTAACATTAAACATATTATCAGTTAACTGAAATAACTCTTCAACATTTCAGTTGCTTGTTCCAGGATGTTGATATTCAAAAGATGTTCAATGTTTCTGTATTGGAATTCATTGGTGTTTATTACATGTGAAGGTATATTAAATCTGGAGTAAGTGTTGTTAACATCATCTATCTTGCATTTGTTGGCATGTCTCTCTTCCATACAAATATTTCAAAGTCTTTAAACATTTATTCTTTCATTAAAATCATCACTTATTTTCTTCCCTTTGGTGTTCAACATGTCTATGCATTGTATCTCTCAGACTGTCATTGGAAATGTCACAATTAGTGGCTTTTATTTAAGTGAGTGAAATGCATGCAGTATTTCAGAGATGGGGAAAAAGAAAAGAACTAATTGTAGAGCTACATATCAGTGTGAAAAATTGTAAATAAAATGCATATACTACAACTTTCTCTCTACATAGTCCATGGAATATGCTGTTTGTCATAGAAAATGACACATTTGTTACTGAATCTTAGTGCCACATAAACATAATAAAGATTGTAATAATTGTTCTGCTGAAGATGTCTATAGTTATCAACTTCAATACTATGATTTATGTATGTACATATCATGACATATATGTGAATAATGTGAACGAATGAGTGTAGGTTAGTTGTAAAATGGCAGTCAACTTATAGTTACCCCTCTAAACTCAACAGTGGTTGATTCTTGCAACTAACTAGCTGCAGAAAGATGGTAAAGAATATTGAGAAGCATGTCATAAAGAAAATGTCATTACTTTGTTAGTTTTCTTTGATAATATAAACATGATTTTAAAAAACTAAAGTTCTCCAGTTATTTTGATGAGAAAAAAATATTTATTGTTTCTAAGAAAATTTAGTCCTTAAATGATTTCACTTCCATTTGTTTATTACTACTAACAATTCTGGTCATTTCTCAGTTTAGTCAGTTGCAGAATGGTATTGATGTGCTAAATGCCACCATCAGTTGTTCATGATGACCAAATGATGATAAATTTCATCTCCATAGAAAGCCACAGAATGTAAATAGATTTCCTGCAAAACTGTACCCTTAGTATGTTATAGTACTGCCTTGACACAATGTTGTCAAGTACATGTTGTTTTCCTGTTCAGAGTGCAGGATGTCTGGCAAGTTTTCTATATATTACTCAACTTCTGAGTATTCTTTGATACAACCTGAAATACGCAATTTCAACCACGTTATTATTTAACTACAATGAAACCTACCCCTGTGACTTTGTCTAAGTTTATAATTTGTAAAAACATTACATTGCAAATAAATCATTTATATATTTCATGAATATCAGGCAAAAATGAGAAAAACAGGTATTTCTTGAATTCCCAAGAAAATCCCTCCCTGCATTTTGTTAAAAAACACATTGTCTCATTTAGAATTAAGAAAGATGACTAGTCATTATATATTTTCAATTTGTCTTCCTTGACTGCAATTTATATTTTGAAAGTGATGGCAAAACTACCTTAATGCGTATTGTCATCAAACAGAGTAATACATTGAAAGTGTTTATATTTTTATAAAACAATGTTTTCTGTAAATTTGTTGTATGTGTTGTAGTGAAAAACTAATAAAGGTTAATTAAGCCGCGTACCATTTACTTTGCTTATGTAATCTAAGTAAAGATACAGTTATCATTCTTGCTTAGAAGTTCTTTATTTTCTTTATAAAAATTTCATATAATATTTATATTAAATTGAGATTGCTTTTTGAGGTATTAGATGTTCATTTTCAAAACCAAACTTACAGACCTTTTGCCGATCTTTCTTCATTGTAATAGTTAAATATCAGAGTCATTATTATCTGTTTTAGTAGGTCTATAAGTGCACAATTTCATGGGCAAAAATTTGAATTAAAAAAAGAAAGAAAGAGGTGTCTTAAGAGAAGAAATAAAAGAACCCAAAAATTTATTAGGATCAAAAAACAAAAAAAAAATAAGAATTTGTAAAGTTGAGCACTCATAATTCATAAAAAAAAAAAAAAAAAAAAAAAAAAAAAAAAAAAAAAAATAGGTTTTAGACTTCAACCTAAACCAGAATGTTTGTAATGTTGCTTGAGACCAACAAGAAAACACATTATTTGGTATGAAATTTAGAATAAAACCTGTAAATAAGTTAAGTCTAGTACATTGTTTCAGTAATTCAATTTTTCAGAATTTATCACTAAAAATTTGGTAAAAATCAAATGTGATGTTTTGAAATAAATGTCTTTTCTTTTCTTTAAATTAATTTGAATATAGAATGTAATTTATTAAAAAGAATTTTTAATAAACTAATGAAAAAATAAATAACTTTTACATGGTTTAGAAACTTGATTTTTGCACTATTAAATTACAAATTTCTTGATAACAATTAAATTTCATTGCTCACACTTAACAAATAAATGACACTTATCTTAGTATTATAGTTACAAAGTCTGTGTGACCTGATTCTTCTTGGTTAAAACTCCTGAACTCAAGAAACAATATACAAAATGTATAACATACAGTTATTTACATAATTGGATATGTTGTTGAAACATCTTGCATGAATCTTTACAAATACGAAAAAATTACAAACAATATTATTTATTTATTTTTAAACATTTTAAAAGTGATGATAAAAAAATAAATTTTTCACATATGTTAATTTTTCATTATGTTGTGTTAGAAATTAACTCGTTTAGGTCTGTGGGTTGCTGGTTAATTTATTAGTTTAAACTTGTATCCAATTTTTTTGACAGATTCTAAAATGGTTCAGCATCGTCAGAAACAGCATCTCTCTGAAATAAGTATTATTAAATGTTAGGAATAATTTTCATGATTGATTTCTGATGTTCTAATATCATCACTGTATAAAATATTGTAAGAATTGGTAGAAATCCTTTCAAAAAGCAGATGAGGATGTATGCATTAGAATTAAGTTAACAAACGTGTAAACAGATCACAAAATACCAAATTTAAAAGAGCCTGTATTTTCTTTCACCCTACTTTTATTTCAAAATGCAATAGACAAACTTGTAATAAAAAAATTATGCATCTAATTATATATTTATTGACTAATGGTGTAACAAAATGACACTGACTTTTTCGTATAATTAGATTCCTGTTTTCTGGAATTGGAGCTAGCTTTCTGATTTAGCCCTGTCTGGCTTAGCATATGACTGGATTCAAAGTGGTTTGTATAATGACGTGGGATAATACACACTTAGCCAGAACCCTAACCTCAGTAGGATTATTTGAATGGGATGGCAGAATCTTTCTTACGATATTCACTTGTATTGTGACATACCAGAACCCCCACCACTACCACCAAATTATTTAATAAAGGGAAATATGCATCAAATGTATACTTTAGAATTGGCTGAAATACAAAACTTTCTAGAGCAAAGAATAGACATTGTCAGGATAACTAGTCAACAACATTTGTGTTCAATGCTAGAGGGCTGAACGCGATATTCTTGTATGAAGCATGACCCCGGGACATAATTTTGAATAAATGACAAGATGGCGTGGAAAATCAAGGTTCTGCAATTATTTAAGATCAGTCAGTATCTCTTGGCAGTAACCGAAGTGGACGGTACTAATTTTGCATACTGAGGCTGGGTAACAATTTGATGTTAGGAAAAGAGAAACACATTAATTGTGCTCTTAAAAAACTGATCATCTCTCCGCCAACCATAAACCTATGTTTATGTTTCTTAAAGTTGTGACGATCGATTTATACATTGTGACAATAATGATTTGTGATGTACTGGTTGTTGATTGTCAATACTTACCAACCCATTGACGTTGAGAGGTACGTGGGGCCTATAACTATTCTATTAATTCACATTATGTTCTCAGTGATTCATGCTAGAACGCTTCTCTTTATTATTGTAATATTTCATGTTCTGCATATAATTTAATCTAAAACTTGTTCCACCTAGCATGGCAAAAATTATTCAATTGCATTTGGTAATATCTTTCCGGATCATTTTCAAATTATTATTAATTTCAGTATTTCAGGTGTATAACTTGACACCCAAACAATCTCATTAAAGTATTTTCAATTTCACTGTAAGAATTAATTTTAAAACTAGTTTGAAGACATTGTATCATTCAAAAATTACTGCAGGAAAATTGTTGAATAAAACCATGTTGTGTTGCGTTCTACCTACATATGTGATTTCAGAAAAAAGCGTATAACGTAATACTTTTTGTAAATTTTTCATGCAATATTCTATTTTGGGCACTGTATGATTTTGCGTTAATTTCAGAAACATTTTTTCCCATTGGAGTGGTGTTAGCTCCATTGAATTTCTTGTAAAGAGTTCTAGATTTATACATGATTTCAGAAAGAAGCGATGTAATAAATATTTTTTTAAATTTTCAAGTAATTTCACATCTTATGGAACAGTCTACTTTCAAAACAATTAGGCCGATTGGAGTCTAGTTTCTCCAATCAATTTCTCATAAAGAGTTGTACATACATGATTTATACGTGATTTCAGAAAGAAGCGATGAAATGAGTATTTTTTTAAAAATTTTCACGCAACTTCCCATATTAAGGAACAAATTTCTTTTGGATCTATTTGAATCTAGTTACCTCCATTAACTTTCTGGTAAAGAGTTCTAGCTATATACTTGATTACAAAAGAAAAGGACACAATCTTTTTTAAAATGTTTTAAGCAGTTTCCTATTTTCGATCACCGTTTGGTTTAAGTAAAACTCGGAAAAATATTACATAAAAGTATTAAGTTATACACATCTTTCTGAAATCACATGTATAGGTAGAACATAACATTACATGGGTTAATTCAACAAATTTTCTGCAGTAATTTTTGAATGATACAATGTCTTCAAACAAATTTCATAATTAATATTTACAGTGAAATTAAAACTACTTTAATGAATCACTTCGGGTGTCAAGATATACACTTAAAATATTTGAATTAATAATATTTTAAACATGATGAGGAAGAGATATTACCAAATGCAATTAAGTAATTTTTGCCTTGCTAGATGGAACAAGTTTTAGATCAAATTATAGGCAGAAAATGAAATATTTCAAAAATGAAGACAAGCGCACAGAAAATATTTGTCGGATTCAATTGAGATTTTCTTCATTCAATTTATCGTAAAGACTTCTGCTTATCTCTGTGATTTTAAAAAAAATCGACAATATTGAAAATTTTTCATTTTTTTCAGGCTATTTCCTCTTTTTGGTACTACATTGTGTAACTCCAAAACTATTAGTCGGATTGGACTCTGGTTTGCAGCAATGAATTCTCCGTTAAAAGATTTACGTATTTTCATGAATTCAAAAAGATGCTAATTCCCCCCCCCAACCATTGGAGGCATTTTCCTATCGAAATGTACTATCTACTTTTGCAAGAAAGACCGAAACTATTAGTCAGATTGAATTGTGGGTTACTACATTACGTTTATTGTGAAAACGTCAACTTGTATCTGTTTTTTTTTTTTAAATCGACAATTTTTAGATTATTCAATTTTTTTCAAACAGTTGCCTGTTTTGGGCTCTATTTTGTTTCGCGTGCATCTCCGAAACTATTAGTCGGATGAGCTCTAGTACGCACCATATAACTCTTTAATAATAGATCACCACATAGACGTGATTTTATCAAGATGCGACGAAATCAGTTTTTTTTTTCACTTTTTGACGGAATTTTCCATCTAAAAGCAAATACTACTTTCCTGTGTGTCTCGGAAAATATTAGTCGGATTGGATGAAGATTTTCTTCATTGAATTTCTCGTAAAGACTTCTACCTATATCTGTGATTTGAAGAAATTTCGTCTATATTGAAAATTGTTCATTTTTTTTCAGCCAATTTCCTTTTTTCCTACTATTTTGTTTCGCGTGTATCTCCGAAACTATTAGTCGGATTGAGCTCTAGTACACACCATATAACTCTTCGTTAATAGATCTACACATAGACGTGATTTTATCAAGATGCGACGAAATTAGTTTTTTTTCAATTTTTTGACGGAATTTCCGATCTGATAGCAAATATTACTTTCCTGTCTATCTCGGAAAATATTAGTCGGATTGGTGCTTCATTGAACTTATCGTAATGACTTCTACCTATATCTGTGATTTTATGAATTTGCGTATATATTGAATTTTTTCATTTTTTCAGCTAATTTCTTTTATCCTACTATTATTTTCGCGTTTATCTACGAAACTATTAGTCGGATGAGCTCTAGTATGCACCATATAACTCTCCAATAATAGATCACCACATAGACGTGATTTTATCAAGATGTTTACTTCTATAAAAAATTAGATATAGCAGTGCTGAAATTAATATTTTTCGAAATTTGGCATGTAGTCGTAACAGGTCGTTTTGTACTTTGCTAATCCAGGTTTCTTTTGTTTTTCGTCTATCTCGGAAATATTCGTGGATTGAAGTTTGCTTTGCACCAAATCAATTTCTATTAATGTTTTTACTTGCATACCGAATTAGAGAAAGCAGTGCTGAAATTATATTCTTCGTAATTGACACGTAAAGAGGGGTCGTTTTGGTACTTTGCCCAATAGAGGTCCTTTTTAATTCGTCTATCTCCGGAAACATTCCGTCGATTGGAGTTTGCTTTGGCACCATTAATTTCTATTAATGTGTTTTACTTGTAACAGAATTTGAGATGCCGAGCTGAAATTAATATTTTTCGAAATTGCACGTAAGGGGGGGTGGTTTTTGTACGTTGACCATAGATGTTCCCTTTGATTTTCGTCTATCTCGGGGAGACTATTCGTCTGATTGGGGTTGCTTTGCCCCAATATATTTCTTTTAAATGTGTTTTAAACTTGTATCACAGATTAGAGATAGCAGTGCTGAATTAATATTTCGAAATTTGGCACGTAAAAGGGGGGGGTCGTTGTACATTGACGCCAATAGAGGTTTCCTTTTTGATTTCGTCTATCTCGGAAACTATTCGTCTGATTCTAAGTTTCCTTTTTTGGGCACCACATCAACTTTCTTTTGAATGTGTTTTACTTGTAAAGAATAGAGGATAGCAGTGCTGAAATTTAATATTAGAAATTTTGCACGTAAAGGGGGCGG